AACATACTTGTCCCTGTAGAATATTTCTGTGTGAGCCATATTAGGCAACTTGTACTAATCCAAACCTCTAGAGGCATTTCAGGTATTAATCTGGATGAATTATGTCACTCCTGCTCAGTTACATTCATTACATGACAGAATTTTCTTCCCTGAAGTCTCTAAACAAAACTTTTCATTTATAAATGTCCTATTTCAAATTTTGCTGGGAGTCTTTTCAATGACTGAAAGTGGAGAAAAAGTTCCCTGAAAATTAATTTATTTACCTGTTTGGAAGTTTTACCTCCTTACCAGCCCCAGGTCCTTGTTTTCTCAACATTTCAATCAAATCTCTGACGAGGTTTAATAGTGTAAGTGGATGAAGCTAAAAACAATGTACAGCACAGGCTGAACTAGATGCATAGTGACATCCTCACTGCCAGCAACCAACAGATTTCCTACTGTACAGCCAGGCTTGGAGCACAGTAACACCCACCTGTATTTAATGACTGTTACATGAGTCAAATCCGCTGTGGAACATGCATTGCATTAAGCTCCTAATTACTAGTTTCAACTAAAATGCTTTGACGACTGTTAAAACACTGAGAAATGATAACAGAAGCTCTCACGAAATGTTATACTTAACACTCAACAGATTATTGATTCCTCTACCGAGGAGCAGCAAAGTAACAAGAGCTCCAACCTTAACTTAGGCAGACCTGCCTCTCAATTAAAAACAACAGTAAACATTTTAACCGCAACAAGAGACAATATCCATCACCCCCAAAGAATGTTTCAATTAACACAATCATAGACCCTCTTTGGTTGAATGTGGTATTTAAAATAGAATTCATGAGCTCTCTAATTTATGATAGGTTATGGATAACTTGTTAATTATAGCTACACAATGTCAGAATTAATGATTTTCCCACCCTCTTTCAACTTGAGAATGAATTCATAACTTATATCAAGACCCAAAAGATGTGCAATTAATATTGTCAGTAAGCATTTCACAAAAGAGATCTGTTAAAGGCAGGCATGTGGACACAATTAGTCTATCAATTAATGTTGCTGTTACTTGATCTATAAATTATTGAAAAACTCATAACTACCGCAAGGAAACAAAGCAAACCCACTCCCTGTCAATGAAATAAGCTCCTGACTGTGTCCCTCTTTCATTACTCTTTACATCAGATTTTAATTTTGCTGTATTCCATGAATTTTATCTATGTAATCAGAAAAATAAATGAACCTATACCAATCTGGCAATTTGAAATGGCTCATTACAGTGATGATGCTTTAATTCTTGTTAGCTGATCATAATGATAAAAAAAAAAGTTAAATAATTTTTAAAAAATCCACCATCATTGTTCATAGCTCTTATTAATTTAAACTGAAATTCCAATCTAGAAATGAACCTGTAAAAACTGCACCAAGATTTCTATGTATCAGCGAAATTCCAACTTTCACATCAACCAGAAACCTCAATCCCACTCTCAAATTTAGTAATGATTAGTCCAAAGGTTAGACTGAAATGAGATCTAAGAAATTCAAAACAGGACTTGGGCAGCATCAGGTATCTAATGGTGAAAACGGAAAATGACAAAACATAACCTTGTTTAAAGGCTGCCTATCCCCAAAGGCTTTTAAACTAACTAGGTACCTCCTGTTTGATCTTAGTAGGAGTAGAGTTTTGCTTCTGGGGATGCAAAGGTTTTCCTTTAGATAGTTAGATAGATTCCAGTCTCTCATTAGAGTTTAAAAGACCCAGGAAATAGATGTGACTCTGCCAGAGGCCTAATCCGATATACATGAACAGTCCCAGAGACACAGCACTCCTTTTAATTAGTAGTCAAGACAGTTAAAATGGGACATTTAAGCTTTTTGCCATTCTGATCCCAAGAGTATCAAACTCAGATCTTGCACCACCAAGAAAGCACTACCATGCAACACCCTCTGATATGTTGGTGCAAGCAGGGTAATTCCTTACCTGGCATTAAACAGCCCCCTGAGCGGAGTCCACTTTCACTCTTCCTCCTCAACCACAGCTTCTGAACTTGTATATTCATTCAGTCAACACAAAGCGCCAAACTCATGGCTGTGAGAAGGCATCTAGCTCTGGCAGAGACATAGCACATCACACCTTTTCTAAATTTCACACTCCTACTGGCTAGTTATGGCAATCCCCAGCTTGGCGGCCTGCCTACTGTGAAATCTGTTTTCAGATGCCACGTGCTTCCCACACATTGCAGTGGAAACCTATTAAATAAGGGATCTTCACCCATGGGGATCGCTAGCTTCAAATATCATTATGCTGATTGTCAGCATGCCTGAGCTCTCTTTGTATCTTGCTTCCATTTTTAAAAGTCCCTGTCATTTTAAAAATTGACTCAAAAGTCTTACGATAGGGGATATAAAGAGAGATGATTTTGCAAAAAAAGCCTAAGCTTCAAATAGGATAATTGCAGAATTTAAGTGCAAGAGGAAAAAAACCAAATCCCTAAAAAAAGTCTCTTGGCCTCCCCCAGGCAGATGCAGATCCACACTCAAATTTGGTAGCTTGGCTCACTTCTTTACTGACCTCCCACTTCAGTTTTCCTGTTTAAGTTAATTTGCAAGAAGGGATTTTCCAAGGCAGTTATCAGTGTGGATTCAACATCAATGCTACACGTTTCCCTCAAAGAGGTTTCTAAATCAATTTTAATTCTGATACGCTCAAGTAAATGTTTTCAATTTGATTCAATAATCCATACGCACTTATAAAATTATTTTTCCCCCACATACTACAAGACAAACATGATTTATGTTTCTAACAACTTTGGCTAAAAAGAAATTCTAGTTTCCTATCCTGAATGGTACAAACACTTATTTTTTATTCACCTCTCAATGAACCAGATGACACAAATAAATAAAATCAGCCTTTAAGAGCATTATTTTAACCATTATCTCTCTCCCCGCTACAAGGAGTTAGCCCACCCCAGCACCAGGACTTTGCATTCGCACTCACCAAGTATCACGAGACTCCTCCTGGACTTTTCCTCTAATCTGTCCAGGTTATTAAACTGTTTGCTTAACTAATGATGTTACAGTACCTTTAACTGAAGATAGGCACTATACTACTGTGTGGTATATGTACGAGTCACCATCTGAATAACCATATTTTTATTTTTGGCCATACCTCAATATGAAGAGCAGCTTGCATTTATCTAACATTTTATCATGTTTTATATTCATATACCTCACAAGTCTTGGGAATTAAGCTTTGTATTATTTCAACACTTCAAATAATAAACACTACCTTAGTATATCCTTACACAGATAAAGAGAGCTGAAGATCTAGCTAACACTATATGGAAGACTTATCCCTGCTCTCGATGGAAATGGTAGCATGGCTCTCGCAGAAGTACAACAAATCCTTATTCACTGGAAATACGCTAGAGCTAAAACTTCTGTTTATAAAGTAAAACCTAATTTCATGGGAATACTCAGTTCCATTGCATAATCAAACCCATTGATTAGTAACATTAGAAACTTCATGTTAGTCCTTGCTACCTGTCACTGCTTGCAGTCAATGAACCCGGGGAAGAAAGAAGAAAAAAAAATAATTCCCTGTTTTTCTTGTCCATCATTCACACTATACAGGGGAGGGCTGGTTGAAATATGCTCAAATACATACAATTCAATGACAACTAAATGAGCACACCAAGATTCTTTTGACTCTAATTATGTGGGATTTGAATAGGAAACACTGTCTGAATTGTATACCTTGTCTGTATAAAGCATTCACCGTACCCCAAGGGCTTGCGATGGCTGGAAGTGATCAGGTGCACTCAGACTTGCACATACAATACAGAACGAGGTGAACTCTGGAGATGTACATTGTCTGCTGTACACTGTCCCTTCCAATTCTTCAGATACTTGTACACGCTACAGGGAGCTCTGATTGCTGCCACGGAACATATTTTGTACTTCTTCTCGGCAGTAAAGGTAATTCTCAGAATTTCCATTTGGGTGACAGAATCAGATTTTCTGCTAGTTTAGAAATTGGATACTGAATATTTTATTAACATAAACAAACAGCTGTATGCTGTTTCCAAAAGTTTCACCGTCCAGAAGAGGCACACATCAAAAAGATGTTATCCATATTGTAAAAAATGTCATTTTTTAATTTCCTGCCTGCCCAAAAATAATGAATGATCATACAACTAAATCGTCTTTACTTTCATTACTTGCCTTGAACATCTCTCTCAGATCACATTGTCACTTACATCAAAGTTCCACTGTTTTTGCCTTTCCAAATTACAGCTTCTTTATCTTAAATGCATATTTTTTTCCTTGTGATTTTAGGCCTAGCATAGTCATAAAGACTCTAAACCATCTTCCCAAACAAACAATATTTTTTAACTGCTTTATCTCTTTTCACAAACGTTAACACAAAGATTACCGATACAAAAGCTATAGCAAACACAAAGCCTTAACTACTGCTTTGGTAGAATCGCTGCAGTAAAGGGTATGGCTGCCCAGAAGTTGAACATGTTATTTATCAGATATTCAAGATGAGTAAAATTTGCCATACACACGTATATGAGCAAAGATGAGAATATTTTGGTCTTAAATAATGTAAAAAATCCTCAGAAGTAAATTGCTAAATCATACACCCTCAAAAAGAAACAGAGTGACAAACTGAAAAGCCCACGTGAAAAAAAAAAAGTTATAGTCATCTTTTGCTAAGAGTCATTTTAAAAATTGCATTTCCATTTGTGAAACAACTGCAATATACATACAGAGTAAAAATTAATGAACTGTAATACGTAAGTTCTTTATTACATTTTAAATATATTTCAATAAAGTATATTTTTAATGATAGAGAACCAAATCCCACGTTGCCATACCAGACTTCCACTAGTATTTTACTTTCGCTGAGCGCACAGATCACGGAAGAATCACAAATGCATAAAAGGTGGCTGATGTAGGAGATGATTAAAGTACAAAATACATATGAATAAAGAGAAATGAGTCACTACCTTTCTTTTTGGAGTCTTTCTTTGTGCTGGTTTTAACAGCCACTTGAAGTTCTGTCTCAGTTGACATCCTATATCCTTAGTCCTCTTCACACAGATCCAGGATCTCGGTCAGGCTCATTTAGAACGTCTCTCCAAGAGAATAATTTAGCCTTTCAGATACGATAACCCAAACAGTTCATCTCATTCACTCCTTTCAAGTACTGTTAAAGAAGGAAACAAGAAGTAACAGTCATTTTATGAGTTAAAAACTTAAAAAAAAAAAAGGCAAGCAAACCCTTGCGAGCTTACTGAGGAAGAAACCAAGAAACCTTCAAAGTTCTCCATCTAGAAAGTCAATTACCCACAATTTTAGATGCTTAAACACATTCATCTAGTCCTGTTTGAGGTATTTTGGCATATCTGAGATGTCTTCACAGGCTAGGGACACCACACAGAAGACCTGTACTTCTGGACCAGCAGCTGGAGGACAGAGACTACAATCTGGGAAGTAGCTAGAAACGTCACGAAAAGCAAAAAATTCTTAAACGCACCTATTCCAAGGTAAAACATACTGCCAGACAGTAAGTTCATATTTTTACTCCTCAAACGCTCTTTCAATGCTTTCATTCTCCTACTTGAAGAAAGACAAATGAAAAAAGTATTCATTACTCACACTGATATCATACTTTGCCACTCCTCTTGCTTATGATAATGTTTCCAGTATAAAAGAATCTGCCTCAATGTAAACAAAGCTGTAATTCTTAACACTCATCTAGTAGTTTTTCCAAGAACTCTGAAAATACAGTTAATTAAACCTACAAAATACAAATGGGATAGGAGGCAAAAAGATAAATTTCAGGGAGCAAGCTACAGCTTTACATAACATGTATTTGTTGAGGAGATACACAAATGCACCGGCTGCGAACCCACAGCAGTAACTGCAGAAATGTGCTGGAGCAGTATGAGGGAGACAGGCTGCAAGGCTGTGAGTAGGACTGGGGATGTATGGGCTGTGGAGGCAAAGAAGACACAAAGAATAAACAACCAAGCAAAGAATAAACCATTACTCCAATTCTTACTGCTGGTCCTTCTTGCTTTGAAGGATGAGCCACCCACTTCAGCCAGTCTGTCAAGGGCAAAGGACAATACTGTCCTGAAGCCATTTGTCATTACGTTCCCTCAATAAATGCATTTTCTTATTGCCATTTCTTTTTGTGACAAAGTTCTCATTATTAGCACAATTACAGAGAAGTCCATCTGGCCTGTCTGAACAGCTGCCCAGTTATTAAATAAGCATTTAATAAAGAAATTAACCCAGCATATCAACTGGTTAGCTGGCCAGAGATTAACTACAGTTATAGTTATTTACTAACGTCCCTTCTCTGTCATTTAAGAAAGTAATACACCGCAAACATTGAAATAATTTTGACAGTTTAAAATCACTTTTCACAGTAAGGGCTGTGAAACCACTAGTGCTTTCAAATCCAGGCTCTTTTAACATTTTAAAATGCTTCAGTAACATTACGCTGCCATGCACCGTCTGAAGTGATTTAATATTGCTGAAGTGTGTCAGGGGCTTTCTTTAATAAGCTCTTCAAATCTGTATGTGTATTACAGAATATTCAAAGATAGCTTTTCAAAATCTGCCGAACTGATTTTGAAATACAAAGTTCCCCGTTCCTACTCTACAGAGTCTGAATAAGTACTGCACAGCAGAAAGGAGGAAAACCAAAGCAACATGCAAATCAAAGTTGCAGTGCTTGCTAAATGCACCTTCTTGGAACACCTGAATAAACTAAAAGCATTTTGATTAACATTCTTAGTTAAAAAAAAAAAAAAAAAACAAAAAAAACAAAACAAAGTAGAAAAGGACAAAGCAAATGTAGGTGGATCACAGAGAGAAAAGGAGTAAGATAACAGCCCCAAAACTGACAACCTTTCAGGATCTGAAGCACTCTTTGGCTTCAGATGTCAGGGAGATGTCTCTCCCCCAAACACAGTCACAGTGGGACACCACGCGCAGGGACGGTTGGGCCCGGGGAACCACCTCACCCTACTGTTGACAGAGTCGCTCTGAACTTACGCTTGAAATCCCCGCAGCAAACAGGGAGAACAGTGCTGCAGAGAACAGATGTCCCTCACAACCCCCACCTCCTTCCCCTCCCCCTGCACACAACCCAATTTAATAATATTTAGTTTTACAGCACAGTAGGGATGCATCAGTCTTTACAGCTCAATGGCACTTACTTAAAGCATCTCTCAAGTCACAGCTGGATTGACAGTTTATTTTTCTAGAATCTGGATTTACATTTACCTAAAGGTTAACTGCATAACTTTACAAGAAGCACTAACATGAACTACTTAAGAAAAAGAAAATATTTACAATAGGTCCATTTATAATAAAAACATTTAAATAAAATAATATAAGAACAAAACAAAAATACCCCCGGGGTCAAGAGTTAAGCAAGTTTTAATGTCTCAGAAGACTGTTGTGGGTACGAAGCATCAAGAATTGTCATCTCCTGTTGTCAGCTACTTTCATCAGGATAGCTGAAATAGTAGCATCTGAATGGCACTGAATATTTTAAAATAACAACATATGACTGCTATCTCATTTGAAACTCTCCACAAAAGCTATATCCCCTTGAGGCTATCCCACTGAGTAATATTTTTTAAAATAAATGCATGTCTATTTTTGGACAGGTTCACATATTGATTTACTTTAAAACCTAATCAGGTCATACTCTCGCAGGCTCATAGATCCTTGAATAAATAGGTATCTTTGTAAAGGAGCACATAAACATCTGTCAGACGCAAGCTATAGTTCAAACTGAATTTGCTACAGAGACAATTCCTTCAAAAGTATAGGTCTTTATGTAAGCTACATTAGTAAACTTTCATATACTGTCCATATTTCAGCTGTTTATTACCCAGATGAGAATGGCAGTCAATCTGCTCTTCACTGCAACAGCTTTTATTGTCTCCTCCAATCTAGGTCACCGTTGTTAAATACTACGGTCTTCCAACTGTGGGAAGTACTGCAGCATGTGTTTTATCAATGAGATGCTATTTTCTTTGATCAGTTCTGCCACATTTCTCTCCCTGCTCTAAAGACAAAATTTTGTTAGCTGCATTTAAAAAAAAAAAAAAAATTCCATCATCTCACACGTATCCACTCCAATGATCTTGTGTGCCTTGTTACTGTTCCAGCTATTACAACGTTATGTGCATGCCTCAGCTTTTCCTAAAGAGGATTCAGAGCTCTTCGTTTTAACAAAATGGTGACATTTACTGTTCCCTTATTAACCACAGGAACACAATCAGTGCATTCTGGAATTAACTGGCTTTTAATTCCAAGAGAAGTCTTAAGCATGCATTCTGTATTACTCCTACACTGGCATAAAACCTAAAGCCTTAGTGAAGAAATAATTTTGTAAATTCACTTTGCAGTTAGGATTAACACAGGTTGGACCTTTTGGCGCAGGGAAATTAGTCACATGCTCCACCCACCTCACCCACGCATTTGTAAAACAATTTCTGTCAAATGATTTGTCTTTTCAACCATGCTTGAGCAAGCTCATGAAGGGGTTATTAGGCGACTTCCCCTGGCCCAACTTATGAAGGAGGTCAGACAAGACCATCATAATACTTCCCCTCTGGCTTTAAAATACATGAATTTATTTTCTTCAGGGCTTCAAAACCTGAGAAGTTCCCTCCCCTGGAACCAGTTTCCATCTGCTTATGTAAAGGAAAAGCAGTCTTAAAAAGGATTTGTAACTAAGCCCTGGCATTCTCTAGGTATTTATGTTTTCCACAGCTCCAAAGTGGGATTTAACAAGAGGACGGTACCTCCCAAACCCTGGTTTCACAAAACAAAAACCACGCTACTGTCCTTAGCTCTTCTCTTTATACCTCTGAAGTCTTGCAATTCACTTTCTTTCCTCCAAAGACCCAATATAATCATCTGTAAGGGAACGTTGATGATGCCCATGATTTTTAAGTGTTAAATAAAGCTCAAACATATTAAAAGGTCAAAATACAAGTGATAAAATGATTTTTAAAGTACTGTGATCCTGGAAAACTGAAAAGAGTTCAAGTGCGAAGGACTGCTATCCAGGGAGAAAAATCAACTTCTCATCTGATCACGAAGCCTAACACAAGAGAATTTCAGTGGGACCACACACAAACAGACAGTGGAAAAACCCATCCTGGCCACCAGTGCCCTTTATACCCTCCAGAGAGAGGCAGCCATGAAACCCTTTGGAGCTGCTCACACTATATTGTCATCAGCTCATTTCCCTAATAGTCAGGTCTTGCAAACATCCTGCGGGAAGCTACTTGGTATCAGAGTATGAATCTTTTATGGAAGGCACTCCACTAATTCCAAACCGAAACCCAAGAGATTGGTCCAAAACCCATTGAAATATTTCAGTTAATAACGCCTGTAAGTAAGAACCAGAAAATGAGGAAGACGAGGTAAAAGGGAGAGCTTACGATATGGACACGGAGGAGAAAATGAGGAAAAACAAAGCAAACGGGAGAAGCTGTCTGTGTGATATTTCATTAAAGCAAATTCTGTAACAATGTGTTTAGCAGCAAAATCTAAGCCAGCTCATTCACTAAAATTCTGGGTAGCCTGCAAAAGAAAACAATCTCCGTTAGACTGTTGCATGTGCCCTGTCCCTCTTCTCTAGTTTTGTCATTTGCCCAAAGAACAGCATAATAAACTGTTTCTAGTGAGAAAGTCAAATGACTCTCTCTCATGGCATGGCACATCAATCACTGCTTTTTCCTGCAATTTCTTTACTGGTATTTCTGTAGCTTGTAAAGATGAAAGGAAGCTTACTGTTCATGTGCACAAACTGAGATCCTACACAGCAATTAATTCCCTCAGCACACATGTGGAAAGCCAAGTGTCCTGTTTAATTCCTCGAATACCCCCCCGCAAATGGCAAATGCTCCTCTGAAACCCGGCACCCTACTTCTTCCTCCTCCTACCTCCCTCAGTTACACAGCTTGCAAAGACTCACAACTGCCTCCATATTTCATAGTTACGTTTTGTTTGCTCTAAAATGAGCAAGCACACCCCTCCACCTCTGATCTTCTATATATTAAGATAAAGGGAGGATATTTATGCACTTTATTATGCTGTTTGTACTATGTCTGTAGCGCGATACCAGAACAATACTTTCCAATTAACCTTTTTTAATTCTTCCAACATCAG